TTTTAATGATTTGCTTTAACTAAATGAACCAATCAAAACAAAGTTATTAAAAAGATTTACCCAATTGAGCATATTATAAAATTTTATTATAATTGTAAAAATCCATAGTTAATTCAGGAGAAATTAACTATCATTTTTTTTAGAAATGATTTATAAACATGCTACCAAAAAATTTGGAATATTATAGTCTAGTAGTAGCACACACAAATAGAGTAAAAAAATGATTAAATTACAAAGTAAAATGATTTAATTTTGTATTTTAAACCGATCATATCAAACTTGATTCGTAAATAAATACTTTGAAAACATTAGAAATAAATGATTGTTATTGTCTGTATGGAAAACATAGGATAAGTAACTGTTTCATTAATAAATTAGAATTTTTTTTCAATTTTTGAGGGTGTGGTGTACTCTTTCTCCTAATTCATTGTAATTTAGTTGTTGACCGACGTTCGACGTGACCGGGTTGTGTTGTGAGTAACAACTGTGTTTGTATATTGAAATGTTATTTTCTTAAGAAGATTTGGATTTCTTTATTTTAACTTAGGAATAAAAGAATCTACAACATGGTGTCAGGTGTGAATAAAATAATTCAGTGTTAAATAATTAATGTGTGCTGAATTATTGACGTAGTCTTAAACGGTTAATTACGTGCTAAAATGTATCTAATTTAAATAATTGTTTTGTTTTCTTAAAAAAAAAAAAAAACTTGAAAGTGTTTTCGGTTAAGAAATAATGGAGTGTAAAATTCCAAAAAATTTAAGCTTTGATGGAAACTTGGTGGTAAATTGGAAAAGATTTTACCAACAATTTGAAATATTCCTCTTAGAATTAGGCAGTTATGAAAAACCAGATGAGGTAAAATTAGCTATTAAATGTTGCTGTCGAGAAGTTAGTTGACATTTACAATACATTCACCTTTAACCGGCGAACAAAGAGAACGTATGATAACGTAATAACTTTGTTTAAAAATCATTTCGAACCAAAAAAAACATTATATTCGAACGATTTAAATTTTATTCTTGTAACCAAGAACCGGACCAGTCCATTGGGGAATACGTCACAAAATTAAGAACATTGGCATCGAGTTGTGAATTCAGTGAAACTAAAAACATGATTAGAGACAAATTAATTATTGGTATAAATCAGTTGGAAATAAAAGAAAAGCTGTTACACGAATCTGATGTGACATTAGAAAAGGCGATTGATATTGCAAAAAAATTGGTAGCAACCAAAGAACAAATGAATGAAATGTTTAGTGATACTAGAGAGTTAAACATGCCCAGTATAGTAAAAAAATACGCTGACTTCTCTAAAAGAAAACTACCGAAGGCCAAGATATTCAAAATAAACGGAACGTTCAAACCAAATGTGAAATAACTTATGATTGTTTTAAATGTGGTCGAAATCATAGTCGGAAAAATTGTCCAGCTTTTAACAAAATATGCTCATTTTGTAAGAAAAAAAATCATTTCAAAAAAGGCTGTAAGCAATATAAAATGAGTCAACGGGAAGAAAAAGAAGAACAACCAGGTAATGTTGATATTCATGTTTGCGAGACGAATGAAGGCGATGAAGAAAAATATTTTCTGGATTTGGTCTCATGCATGTTGGGAATTGAAACGGAATGGACACAAAGGATAATCATAGAAAGCAAAGAAGTGACAAGCAAACTGGATACGGTTTCACAAGCAAATGTAATGGGAGTCGACACATTATACAATGTTTTGCAAAAGGAGTTGAAACTGGAGAAAACTAATATAAAGTAGTTTATAATAATAATATATTAAGTTCTTGTGGCATAATAGTTTTTGATAGTATAGTAAAAAATTTTAAGTGCAAGATAAAATTTGTGATAGTAGATATTAAATGTCGTCCCATAGTATGGTTGAATACATGTAAAAAATTTAATTTAATTAAGAGAATATATCATAAGATATAAGAGAGATAGCATCGGTGATTCGATGGAGTGGGTGTATTGTAGAGTGATTTGCTCGGAATCCGAATTGAGAGTGGGGGATGTTTTTTATTTCTGAAATATTTTGAAGACGTTTTAATAGAAGTTTTTCAAATAGTTTTCCTAAGGTAGGGAAGAGGCTGATTGGACGATAAGAAGAAGTTAAAATTTTCGGTTTACCTGGTTTCGGCACTTCTATGATTGTTGATAGTTTCCAGAGTGGGGGGAAATGAGAAAGTCTGAGCATGGCATTGAAGATATGGACTATGTTAAGGATAGATTTGCTGGTTAGTTGTTTTAAGATGTTATTTGTTATAAGGTCGTGACCTGGAGCTTTACCGTTCTTTAGTTTGCCAATCGCATATTTGACTTCATTTGGAGAAAAGTGTTTAGGAGGGAGTGTCATGGGTAGGGGGCTGTCTAGTGATTTGTTGATTTTGTTTTTATGGTTGGCAGAGGGGTTTATGTTGTTGGGTTTAAATACTTCATATAGGTATTCAGCAAATGAATTAGATAGATTTGTCTATGTCAGATATTGCTAATTGGTTGGTGTTTAGTTTTATTGGCGGTATTAGTTCTCTATGTTTTAATATACTTTATGTTTTACGCCAGAGAGAGCAGTTAGATGTTTGGAGTTTGGTGATATTATTTTCGTAGCATTCTGTGTTGATTTTGTAAAATTCTTTTTTTAGTTTGTTTGAAATAATGTTGAGTGCATTTTTGTCGGTAGGGTGACGAGTTGATTGCCATCTCGCTCTGGCTCTCCTTTTTTTTGCTAGCATTTCTTTTAAAACTATTAGGATGTTGTTGAATTTGTTAGGATATTTAGAGGGAGGTGAAGAAACAGTTACTGAGTCTTGAACATTGGAAGTTAATTGGATTACAGCATTGTCAATGTTTGGTTTTTAGAGGAATATTACGGCTAGTTTTGCTGTCTAGAATGACTTAAAAATTTTTCCAGGATATCGGGCCATTTATGAGGCTTGGTTTGTTGTTGAGAAGGGGAGTTGAGTTTAAAGAAAGTAATACAGCTGTATGGTCAGAACAAAGTTCGTGTATATTTGAAATAAAATAGTGAATGGTTGGAGAAAATTTAGTTATAAAAAAATCAAGTATGTCAGGGTTTCTGTTTTGGTGGGTTGGCCAGTAAGTTGGGTGCACTGGTGATACAATGTGAAAGTTGAAGTTGATTATGATTTTATAAAGTACACTACCATGGGAGTCAGTAGTGTTATTTCCCTAACAGGGGTGTTTAGAGTTAAAATCGCTTCCTATGATGCAGTTATTGTCAAGAAATGAAAAAAATTCGTATAGGATGTTTTCGTTAATCGGATTTGCAAGAGGAAAATATGCAGCTACAATGGTAGTGTTTATATTGTTAATTTTTAGTTGGATGCTTGAGCTCTGAATAGATTGGTTTGAAGTAAGAGGACTAATATTGAATTTGATTTTATTACGGATAAAAATTGCTGAACTACCACGAGCAGTTTCATCAGGTTCGTCAGTGCGGATGGTGGAGTAGTTCGGGAAAAATATAGTTTTGTTTGGAGTAAGGTGAGTTTCGGTGATAAGGCAATGTCGATGTTTCTGGAGTTTAGACATAGGGATAAATCGTGGTTATGGTTTTGAACTCTATTAGCATTCATTCCAAAGAAGGATTGAGAGAGGTGATTTGTTTGGTAGGATAGAATTCATTTATTTAGTAGGGAGTCGATGACTTTGGTGAGTAGGGAGATAAGAGGGTTTATTAAGGATTTGAACTCATTTAGGAAATGGGAAAGATGGGTTGAGATGGAATCATTATTGTTGAGTGAGGTTTATTTTTAATATGATTTGAATTGGGGTTTGAGTAAGTGTTATATTGAAACTTATTGAGGGGCTGTGAGGTAGCCCATTGGGTTTTTAAAGGGGGAAAATTTTTCTCTTGATGGAAGCTGGTATTGATTTCAAGAGACGGATTGTTGGGGTGGATTTCCGTTGACTTGTAGATTTTCGACGATTTACGTAAATTTTGCAATAGTTTGTATTTGGGGCATCCTTTATATGAGGCCGGGTGTGGTCCTTCACAGAGAGCGCAAGTTGGTGGCGAAGAGTTATCTTTGGAACATTCATTAGAGTTGTGGGTGTCTCCGCATTTAACACAGCGAGGTGTATGATGACAATAAGTTCTGGTATGGCCGTAATTTTGGCATCTTAGACATTGGACTGGAGTTTTTTTTTAGGTGGGGTGCTTCAACTTTTATTTTGGTGTAGCAAATTGAGTCGATTTTGTAAATACTTTGATTTGTTGGAGACGATTCTAAATCAATTAAAAATATGGGGAGTGGATTTTTGGTTTTATACTGCAGGCAGTTTGTAATTGACCGAACAGAGAAACCAAGAGCTTGAAGCTCATCTTTGATGAATTTAATTGTTGTAGTATGGTGAAGGTGTCGAATAACTACTCTGAAAGCTTTGTCGTCGCTAAGTTGAAAAGTGTGGTAGTTTATATTATTTGTTTCTAATAGTTTTATAACTTGTCTATACGCATTGATAGTGTATGTCAATAATTTGATACTGTTAGATGTGCTTTTTGTTGTAAATCCTTCAGGTTCAGTGAGAGGTTTTATTTTTTTCAAAAATCAAAGAAGTAAATTGTGCTTTTTATGTAAATGGGTGGAATTTTGTTTACTTCTTTAGGGTTATCTTGTGTTTTCATTTCGATATCATTTTCCGGGTGGTCATTTATGGTAAGAGCTGAGTAACGGTTTGGACTTGAGAAGGAATTTGTTTTTTGTATTTTTGATTTTGGGGAATGACATGGTGAGCTAATAGGAACAGTTTTCCATACAGAGTCGTCGTTAGATGAGTTTTTAATAATCTTGATCGGTGTTATCGTTTTGTTGGAGTTATTAATGTTAGAAGAATTAATCGATTGTGAACGTGAAGGTAATGATGATCCGCTGGCCGAACTCATGGTTCAGTGGTCGGACGGGTTTTTGTTGTTAGTTTGATGTAGTTTATAACGGTGGGTAGGTAATGTAGATAAAAATAATCATATTACCTGAATTTTTTCATTCGGCACAGTTGATGATAAGCTTAATGATATAGATAAGGCTGGTCACTGTTGCACTGTACGACTACTCACTACGAGTACACACGTAAAAGTGAACTAGAGATTCCTAAAAATAAAAAAAAAAAACAAGTTATGCGATTTCTAGGAATAGTAAAATATTTCACTAAATTCGAACCAAACATTAGCAAGGTTAGCGCACCATTAAGAGAGTTAACAAAAGACAAAATAGAGTGGGAATGGTCAGATAAACAACAAAACTCATTTAATGAAATTAAAAAACTAATCTTATTAAAGACGGATCATAAGCCCTTGGTGTCGATAATAAAATAAGATCTAACAAAGTTTCACCTAGACTACAAAGAATGCTTTTAAAAATTGTTATGTACGACATACAATTAGAATATTTGCCCGGTTCAAAAATGTTTATTGCGGATGCGCTCAGTAGAGATTATCTTTATAATGATATTGGTAATAAAAATGTTATCGAGGACGTGTATCATAATATACACGATATAAAAACTGTCCGATAAGCACTGAAACTTATATAGATTAACAGAAGCTATAGATGTTGATGATGAGAATAGAATGATTGTAGAATGTGTAAATAATAATTGGCCCAACAATAATATCATACAGGGAGAGATGTCTAGTTTCTACAAAATAAGACAAAATTTGACAGTTGTTAATCGTGTGTTAATCATTTTTGTGTTCTTTAATAATAAAATAGTCATTCCACGGGCTATGAGGGCATAAGTTTTAAATTTCTAATATTTTAAATATATTTATTGTCGAATTAGATTTGGTAGGATAAAAGTATTCAACTGCAAAAGTAAATAATTAATTATTGTTTAAACTTTTTTTTAAAATTATTTTTAACTTTTTAGTTCGATATGCTTTAAAAGCGTGTTTTTCAGATTTTTTAAACTATATTTATTTTTCACTTTTTAGTTTTTATAACATCGCTGTCACAGTTACAAAGTATTTATTGTACATTATGACTATCAATAGATATAATTTCTGTATTGGGGAGATTATCGTTTCCGCCAAACATGAATAAAATCGCTTTTTCGTTTCCGTCAAACTAATCTCTTACCTGTCTATCTACTATAAAATTTGAGAACTATTAAGTTTTATCCATGGTTCATCATTAAATGAAAACAATTTAAAAGATTTTTGTTAATCAAAACAACAAACTGGATTAATCAAATAAATTAATAAAAAGATAAATGGTTGACAAAAGTCGATGTTAATATAACAAGGGTCTGTGTTAAAACAGCAAACACCAAGTAAAAATATGTGTACTAGTAACTAAGATGCGTGATTATAAGAACCGTGAATAGCACTAATATACAAATATAAGGATATCATATATAGGTTATGGCCTTAGGTGGGTCACACTCGGAGCTGTACCTCAAGTACATTTTTAATCAATAACAATATTCCATAGAAACAAAAATACATAAATAATCATAGTAAAAGGGAAAGTGAATGGAGGGGTAGTGTCATGAGGGCCTCAAATCCGCAAAACGAATGGGTTATGGTTAGTTGGCATGTCACTGCCAAGACGATGTTTTGGTAAAGTAGCGTACTCCAACCCCTGGAATGTTACCATGCCACCATAACCATACACGGGGAGATGAGTCTCATGTCGTGAGAGGGAAGTGTTGGGAGTTAAAACTTAATAACATGTAGTACTAATGCACCATTACAAAGTTATAACAATATTAAACACGGTCATGTAAAATATATATATATATTAGAATGAAGATTTAATAGGGAGAATGAAGAAAGAGAGATATTTTGAATAAGAATAATGCTAAGCAAAAAGTAAACATAGAGAAAAGTTCTTAATATTGAAAATAAGGAATAGAGGGAGTGGGTATACTAGTGTCACTAACCACCAGTTTTTGATAATAGCAGACAAGCTACTATATTCAAAATTAATTTAATAAAATAATTAAGTTTTCAGTGTTACTCCACTACTATTGTTTAAAAGAGGGACATGATCATCAACACAATGTAATATAAAAAGAGAGGAAGGGAGAAGAAAGTTAACCCATCAAAATGAAATAAAATTAAGTAAACTAATACAGATCACCTTAAATTCAACTTATAACTAGTATGTGCATAGATAGGGCAAGTATATGAACAAAAAGAGTTATAAAGTTAAGGTTACTTGGGCATCATTAATGAAAATACCATATCAAAGACCTGCCAGTTAAGAATTCTTCGTATCAAAACCCTTAATGATCTAATTGACTATTTAATGTATGCTGAACATTCTTATCGTCCTTCTAATTCTAATAATTTTTCTAATAATACCTCTTATTCTTATGACAATTCTCAAAATAATCGACCCCAGAATCATAATCCTAATAATTGTAATAATCCTTATAAAAACAGATTCCATGGACGAGCTCCTTATAATAACAGTCAAGCCCAAAATTCTATAAACAATTCTTCTCCCAATCTTTCCAGTACTCCTAATATATACCAATCACCACCTGCGGGAAATGGCAAATGACCAGTCTCGTGAGGAGAGTTTCTGGATCGTCTTCCAATGTTCATCAGTTAAATATTCTTTCTCATCTATTAAGTCCTGATCAAAAAATCTTTCCTTCTCTTAGTTTTCGTCCCGAAATTGATATCTCTATCTTTAATAATCTCTATACTGCTCTTCTTGATTCTGGTGCTTCTGTCACTGCTATGTCTGAAAATTTATATAACCTGTTAAAAAATGATACCTCTAAATTTAATATCTCCTTTTTTCCTCTTTCTAGTATATTCTTAAAAACTGCAATTACTAATAAATCTTTCAAAATTAATTCTCAAATCTATGTATATTTTAATATAAATAACTTCAAAACTCATGCCATTTTCTTGATCGTCCCTCACTTATCCACTCCTCTTAGGTACTGACTGGTTACTTGAAAATAATATTTCTCTTAATTATAAAAACTGAGAAATTATTTTGCCCCCTCCAAATGCTTCTGTTCCCTCTAAAATTATTTCCTTCAATCACTCTAATGACTTAATAAATACCTTAAAACATGTAACAATTAATGATTTCTCTCAACATTTTTTATCTTATGAACTTCCTGAACACTTTGTTCCCTTCAACAAAATACTTTGCTCATAATGATATGTCCCTTGACAATGAACAACAATATTCCATAGATTCATTAATTAATAAATATTCACACATTTTTCAAGATCGTCCTGGTTTACATAATTCATTCACTTATAAATTTAATGTTTGTGAGCACAAGTCCTACAAAATAAAACATTATCCAGTCCCATTCTCTCGTCGCTCTGCTGTTCAACAGGAGATCGACAAGATGCTTAATTGGGGGGTTATTGAAAGATCAGATGCTCCTTATAATAATTCTTTGGTTACTGTGGTTAAATCAGATGGTTCTATCTGGCTCTGTTTAGATGCACGGAAAGTTAATACGATTATTCTTCCTATCCGTGACAGTTCCCCTCCTATTGATGAAATTTTGGCTAAATTTAATAACAAAAATGTTTTTTCTTCCCTTGACTTTACTTCAGGCTATTAGCAATTTCCCCACGATCCTTCTGTTCGCCCATATACTAGTTTTTTATATGATGGCAGGTCTTATCAATTTTGTGTTGTATCTTTTTGTCTCAACATTTCTAATGCTTTTCGTAAAGGTTTGGAAGCTGCCCTGAATAATGTTACTGTCCCTTGTCCTTTCCCTAATGATATCCATACTTATGTTGATGACATTCTGATCTCTTCTCAATCTTAATCACTTAATAAGTCTCGAATGGATATTTCAAAAAATCTCTTTATCTGGTCTCACTCTTAAATTTAAAATATGTCATTTTTTCAAAGCTCAAATTAAATTTTTTGGTCACTTTGTTTCTTGCAGTGGTACCATAATGAACCCTGAAAAAGAAGTAGCTCTAAAAGATTTTCCTAAACCCCGCAACAGAAAAGATCTTCAATCTTTCTTTGGTTTTTGTAACTTTTACCGTAAATTCTCACAAAATCATTCTCAACTTTTAAATCCTCTCTCTCACCTCCTTAAGAAAAATGTACCCTGGTCCTTTAAAGATAAAGAAAAGTCCTCTTTTAATAAAATTAAAAATGCTTTTTGTAATCAAGTCGCTCTGACGCACCCTAATTTTAACCTTTCTTTTTGTATCTAAACAGACGCCTCTCTTATAGGTTTAGGTGCGGAATTTTTCCAAATCGGTGATGACCAACAACGTCATACCATTTCATTTGCTATTCGTTCACTTTGTGGTTCAGAACGTAACTATTCTGTAACTGAACTAGAACTCTTAGCAATTCTGTTTGCTTGTCAAAAATTTAAAGTTTATATTCTTGGGTATCCAATTAATTTGTATACTGACCATAAAGCTCTCACTTTCTTATTTTCTTTTAAATTAAAAAACGCCCGTCTTACCCGTTGGACTCTTGTTTTACAAGAGTTTGACCTTAAAAGTTTTTTATTGTCCTGGAAAAGAAAATCCCCTTGATACTTTTTCCCGTAACAACCTTTTTGTTCTAACTTATAGTAGTAATAGTTCAATAATAACGCAAATGTAATTATTAAAGATATAATCAAACAAAATGAAACATACAAAATAATGATACACTTAAAACAGGATAAATAAATAACACACAAAATGAAAACTTAATGTCACAAACGTACCACGCGAAAAGAGATTATCTTCGGTACTCCCGAGATCTTCTCTTCTTTTCAATTCATTCAATTTCGTCTCATAATATAAAATATTTTCTTTTTCTTTTTTTTACAAAATTCATAATACAATCGTTTTCAAAAGTGTTTATAAATATTTATTTCCTGGTCTAGTAACAATAATTCAGGGAATTACAATTAATCCAAACATTACAAAAATATTTTACTTTCAGTTTTACAAAATAATGACCTATATTACACTTGAAAGGTCTAGATCAATTCCATTATAACTGATTTAAATTTTAAATCACATTATGTTTTAAGACGTATCACGTAATACATAATAATATATAATTATTGAATCCTTTAAATTAAAAAAGTTAAAATAATTCGTAATTACTGTACTATACATCAGGTAATATTACTGTTCTAATTACTGTGACATAATTGTAATTAATCCTTTACTTATCAATTATTTGTATTAGTGATTAATTTGTATGTACTTAAGTTATGTATAGATTATAAAGGTGTTATTAAATTATTTTTAGGTCTGTTAATATAATTTTATTAAATATTTATTGTTAACAATATTACAGTTGTTCACCATAATTACGTACTCGGATCGGTTCATGCGGTCAACGCATGATTCCAACTACATCAATAGTGTAGTTATCCGTACTACCAGCCAATAAGCTGTTACACATGTACACACCATTTACGCACATAAACACAGTATAGTATAGTAGAGTATTGTATTGCGTAATAACCAGTTGATATATATTTTTGTTTTCTATTGTTGAAACTTGTATTTTTTTTGTAATAACATAAATTCATTTTAGTAATAAATACAGTTTAAAAAAAGTAAAAAACACGCTTTTAAAGCATATCGAACTAAAAAGTTAAAAATAATTTTTAAAATAAATTTAAAACAATAATGAATGAAAAATACTAGTATTATTGTGAAAAAAAGCGTCGGACACTCAATATACAAAAAATATGGCACAAAGCCTCCACGCTTTTTTTGACAATACTAGTATTTTTCGTTTATTATTGTTTCAAGCATATTTTAAAAATTATTTTTAACTTTTTAGTTCGATATGCTTTAAAAGCGTGTTTTTCTGTTTTTTAACTATATTTATTTTTTACTTTTTAGTTTTTTATGCCATCGCTATCGTAGTCACGGAGTGTTTATTGTCAATTATCACTATCAATAGATTTAATTTCTGTATTGCCAGTTAGTGTATTTATAAACTCACAACAATGTGTCTTATTACCATTGATAATAAAGGCTATATGCTTGCTAATATCGTTATAAAAAAACAATTAGCTACCTGTATTTGTAATCCCTTATATATTATACATGTATATTAACTCAAAAAAAATTGAATCTTTAAATGTTTATATCTAATAATAAACAATAAAAATTTGTTCTATATATATAATATTGATGACACGAACATGTATACGGGTACGATAACCAAAAGTAAATTTATACAGGAATAGTGTTGCCAGCATGTGGTAAGCGTGGGGTGGGGTGAATGCGTTACGACAGTCTAGTCTCAAGGCCATAGACGACGGGATAAGCAAGAATAATAACACGTAGCGCATGGAGTTACAAACAAACATACTTACAAACATACAGGTGAAACTAATATAAGCGTGTTAAAAATAAATTTATACAGGAATAGTGTTGCCAGCATGTAGTAAGCGTGGGGTGGGGTGAATGCGTTACGATAGTCTAGTCTCAAGGCTATAGACGACGGGATAAGCAAGAATAATAACACGTGGCGCGTGGAGTTACAAACATACATACATATAGGTGAAACTAATATAAGCGTGTTAAAAAGAACAATAGTTCTTTTAACAAAAGATAAGAAGAATAGTTATTTACTATCACTGTATCGTAAATGTACAGTTTAAATTAAGTAAAATAAATTTTGTTGCACTAATTATGACCTTTTTAAAAGCTACTAATTAGACGACGTAATATTTTATTGTGATTTGTTGCTACTAATTAGCAAAATTAATCTTGTTAATTGTGATATATAAATTTTTCTTATCGAAATTGTAGTTTCTTAAGTTGATTTGTTATTGTCGTGTTCCGTGTTTTAGTTTTAGGTAGCATCTTTGGCCAGGAACTTTGCGAATTGTGAGTAATATTATTGATTTTTGTGTTCCCTTTTGTAATTTAGTGTAGTTATTATTCATCGTGATTTATTGAACAGACTATTTATTACAAGTTTTATTAATTTATTATGTATTTCATTGTAGGTGTAAGGCTAACGATATTTTTTAGAGTTTATATTTTTATTATTGTTGATAAGCTAAATATACACTCTTGTTTTACGATTATTAAAAATATTATTACACTTAATTCAAATTTAATTTACATTAATTAATTTAAGAGTTTTAAACACACAAAACAAAAACACACTTACACATTAATTCACAACATAGATCACTGGGTTTGTGCAGGCGAACCCTCCCACCTCTAGTGACTTTATTTACACGGCATTACACAACAGTCTGATTGATATTAAGCGCGTTTGGCCGGTTCGGGTACGCATTATAATATTTAGTTCCCCTGTCCTAAAAATTTATTATACTTGTATCATAATAAAAATGGTATAACCAAGACATTTCAACTGTTAGTAATTTGTAAGTGAAAAATAGATAATAGCTAATGAATATTTATGTATATAGGACATGGATGACTATAAAAAATCAGTACTATGGTCATTAATGAATCTATTTTTAATAATTGGTTCATTTTTATTAATATTCAAATTTAATATGCCACGGAAAATTATATTGGCCAATCGATTGCCTGGTCCTCGTTGGTGGTATGTCTTAAAATTGTTACTAAATGTCATTAATCGACCAGAGTCTATCATTAAAACTATAAATGATATATATAATCAGTAAGTTAAATTTATATTTTCGTTAAAACCTTACAGATAATATTTGTTAAATTTATAACTAGTAGTGGTGATTGGAGGAACTACGGTCACCTTAGCAAAAATTGTTATAGCTCTGGTTTTAAGATTTTAAATGTTATGCTATTACAACAAATGGATGCATAAACATATTAACTACATTATGTCAAAGTCTCAGATTTTTAAAACATAATCTTATATATATATATAAATATATATATTTTAATTAATGCAAATTACCGATATTCCCCTTACCCTGGGGGAATATTGGCAATACATAAATACATGCAAAAAGATAAGGATAAAAGAATTAAAAAAAAAATCACTGAAATATAGTTCATATTAATTATAAATATATAATAATTTGATTACCTTAAATTAAATTTCTTAAAAAAAGTTTTTTTAGGTAAATAAATGCTGAAAACTATTTTCACACATTTAAAAGGAAAAACGTTTTTTGATAATATATTTCTAATAAGAGTAAGGTTTTTTATCATTCTTAATCTATAGATACGGTCAATATAATTTTAGATGCATGGGTTTATTAGATAATGAGATGACCGGTATTACCCACTGACCATAGTTCCCCCAGTCCCCTTACATGAAAACACTATAAACGTAAAAAAAGGATTACAATAAAATACAATTTCTTTTTTCTAACATTATATAATTTATAGATAATGTTAATTTTGTACTATTTTTTTACGTTATATGTTTAAATTTGCACAATTAAGATTAAAAAAGTTACAAATTTTCGAATTCTGTTTGGATGAACTAACAGTGCATTAATTTTAGTATGAAAATAATTGTTTTCAACATGGGAAACCTCATGTTACCAACAATAATTTTAATATATAAAAAATAAAAACCTTTTTGTGGAAAAAAACTGACACATCATAATATTAATCCAAAATAATTTCTTAATTTTTCGCCTAATCTCAATATTAAAAATGATCATTGTAAAAATCTTAAAATTAGATTATTATGAAAAAACTTTATTTTTCAAGCAATGTTTATTAATTATATTTTAGGGTATGTATGTCTGTTGGTATTTTGACGTAATAACATTTTTAATTGTTCAACAGAAGAATATTCATTGATTTATCACGTTATTTTCTTTTATATAATAAAATGACATAATACAATATAATAATTCATTATATTATATTTGTCTAATTCCAATCCTTTTGTCTTTACCCTGGAAAGCTAGCGATATCTTATAGGCGCATTTTACTAGCGATGCGTCAATTTGACTCCTTTGATAGTTATTATTGTTAACGATGTGAGCATAGGGTGAGTTGCGATAAAAACGATCTATGATAATTCTAAGGCTATCAAAGGTACAGATGTGCAGGAGGGAAGGGACAGAAGGGAAAGCGATCGGCGCGCGTACGATGCGTCAGTTTGACGTACGCTAGCGTTCCAGGGTTAATAATTTTTTTTTTTATTTACAATTAATTGTTCAACTAATTCATAATTATAATTATGAATAATAATTTAATAATTATCAAATCACACGGAATACATAACGTGTCTGATTGGTCTAGAAGTTTTGCATAGATTATTTTTATACAAGTTTGTGCAATAAAAGGTCAAACTGGGAAGAAATTTAAAATCTGGCATTCTATTAAGCATGTGTTTTATAATATGTGTTTTATATGACGTAATTAATTTATAGATACGAAAAGTCATTATTTAAAATTTGGTTCGGACCTTTTCTTTGCATAGTTCCTACAAAACCAGAAGATGTATGTGCAATTTTAAATCACCCTAATTTGCAAAAAAAAGGAATTATCCTAAATCCATTACGAGAATCTTATGTAGGAGATAATATAACGACAATTGATGATTTACAAAAATGGAAGATTCATAGGTAATAAATATTTGAATTATTATTCCAACCAAATAATTTATAGGATATTATACTTATTTCCAAAACATTTCGCCGTCATTCTTATCTTATCTATTTTAAATAACATTTTCTGGTATTGTAAGAATAGATCAAATTATATAAACATTTTCATACATAAGTAGTTTTAATTAAATTATTCAGTATTAATAGGATAAGAAAGATAGTTTATTGTAAAAAACATTTATATTTTTTTCAAAAAAAAGTGTAATGATATAAAAGTTTCCTTAATTACATAATAAATAAAACGACATCATAATATTTTATCCAAATTAATTTCCTTGATAAATAGTTTATGTGTGTAAACTTGCTACAGTCCTCTAATAAAGATTTTTTAATTTCTTTCATTATTTAATGTTTAAACGCTTCAGGTATGCTGCCTTTAAATGTATATCATTCAATAATGGGAAGACATTTACATCATTAATTAGTAAGGAAGCTGTGGCTCTTGTTGATTATTTTAAACCAACACAACAAGATAAAACGAATGATTATGAAATATATATNAACCAACACAACAAGATAAAACGAATGATTATGAAATATATATTCCAATTTATAAAATGCACCTTAAAATCTATGAAGCAGCAATTTTTGGTGAAAATGTTGCCAATGAAATTGATGTGAATCATGATATTATTATTCAAAACATGAAAGATACATCAAACGTAATTTGTTTGTAAAATTATTTATTATTTAAACATTAAGTGATCTCTCAAATTCTATTTTATTTTTTTATAATTTTTTTTTAGACTTGATAGAGTAATCTTTATTGCTATTATAAAAGTAATTTTACACAAATTACGCATGTCTTAAATTAAAAAAAAATTTTATTTTAGCTTCGATGCGAAGCTGAGAAGGTATTAATTTTACTATGATGTGTTTTTTTATTTTTTTATTTTTTTTTTTTTTTTGTGTCTGTGAACGCTCAATCTTAGCTCTCGCTGGACCGATTTTGATGAACAATATGTCAAAAGATCACAAATCGTATCTAGTCGAAGACATTACCCTCAAAAATTGAAAAAAATTCCCTCGTTCCCCGTAAACGGGGGAAATCCCCCAAAAAATTACAAATTTAAAAATCGCTAATTTTCGATATTTTTTCAATTTTTTTTACTTAAAATTGCCATAACTTTTTTAAAAATGACCGAATCAATATAATTTTTTTTTTTATAGATACCTTAGATAATTACCTATCATTTTATATATTTTTGTGAACATTTGACCCTTTAACAGCCCAAAGGATGGGGTTTCAAAATGGTAACTTTTTTACAAAAAATTAACTTTTTCAACTTAACTTTTGAAAATGTTCCGGAAAGACTGACAATTTTATATATACCTTAAATTAAAGCTAATGTAATATACTTTAATTTGAAAAAAAAAAATTTGACCTCTGGACTTGTCTTCATGGTGAAAATGACTACCGTATGCAAAAATATGCTATTTTTGTGAAAAAATTCTTGATATTATATTTTACATTTTTTAACATTATGTTGCTATAACTTTTTAAAAAATGCATGAATCAACTTTATTCTTTAATGATAAATACTTTATATATACTTCTTTCATTCGACATACTTTTTTTTAAAATCGGACCATTTCCCTTTATACAGGGGGGGTGCAAACCTTTTAAAATGCGTATAGAAAGTAGAACTTTTTCAACTTAACTTTTGAAAATGTTCCGGAAAGACTGACACTTTTATATATATCTTAAATTAAAGCTTATGTAATATACTTTAATTTGAAAAAAAAAAATTTGACCTCTGGACTTGTCTTCGTGGTGAAAACGGACATCAAAGTTAAAGAAAAACGTACGATTTCCGTGAAAAAAATCTCGATTTTATATGTTATATTATTTAATTTATATTTTATATAACTTTTGGAAAAATGTATGGATCAATATTATTATTTTTTTATAATAAATATTTATATACCCCTTTCATCTGGCACGCTTTTTTTGTAAATCGGATCATACCCCTTTAACAAGGGGGGTCAAAACTTTAAACATGCGTATTGTTACTACGATATTTTCAATTTAATTTTTGAAAGTATTCCGGAAATACTGACACTTTTAAATATATCTTAAATTAAAGCTTATGTAATATACTTTAATGTGAAAAAAAAAAATTTGACCTCTGGATTTGTCTTCATGGTAAAAATGACTACCGTATGCAAAAATATGCTATTTTTGTGTTAAAATTCTGGGTTTTGTATTTTATTTTATTTTAAAATACCTGACAAGGGGAGTACAGATTTTCATAAATATTATATAAATTAAAATTGATATAGTATAGATAGTTAAACTTATTTAAATATGTTTGTTTCTTTTAAGTCGAGAAAAATAACTTTGAAATTTGAACTAGCTTAAATAGCCAATTTTTCAACCGCCGGAAGCAACGTACGGTTGCCGAGTTGGTAAAATTTATGTTTTACACGCTTGGGGTACGAGGTTCCAACCCGCATATGGCAATGAATTTTTTGCATTTTTTCTTAATTCTTTTTAAGTTAGTATAAATTTTAACTCGTTTGATTTTTATCACATTTAGATTCAATAACTTCAATAAAGATCAAGGATCCCATCACTTTAGTCGCCCCTTGCAAGAAGAAATTTCTTATTCGTATTAAAATTATTTTACTATATTTTAAGTTTTCGCTTCGATGCAAAGCCGAGAAGATATTTTTTTGTGACTATCATTTATTTTCTCTGCTCTAACTTGACCTACTTTTTTCAACAATACGTCAAATTACTACAATTCGTATCTAGTTGAAGATATTACTCTCAAAAATTGAAAAAAAAATTCTAATTTATCAATTAAACAGTTAGTTATTACATCGTCTCCATAAAGACAATTAAAATCATTAATTTCTAATGTTTTCAAAATATTTATTAACGAATGAAGTTTGATATGATAGGTTTCAACTACAAAATTAAATCATTTTACTTTGTAATTTAATAATTTTATTACTCTGTTTGTGTGTGCTACTATTAGACTATAATATTCAAATTTTTTTCTAACGTGTTGCTATATAAATCATTTCTAAAAAAAATGATTGTTTTTTCTCCTGAATTAACAATTGATTTTTACAAATATAATCAAATTTTATAATAAACTCAATTGAGTAAATCTTTTTAACAACTTTGTTTTGATTGGTACATTTAGTTAAAGTAAATCATTAAAATTAATTAAGTTCTCAATATTTCAATTATAGAATCTTTTCAACAAACAACAAAAGTTCCTAGGAAATTATTACTATTACTTCTATTTAAGTTATCTATTACCATAAAAATGCAAAAAAATATTGAGCTTTTCTGATAAATTTACAATAAATAGTAATTATAAAACTTTCTGACTGCATATTGATCTTAACGATACAATTTTTTTAATTGTCATAAAATTTTCTATTTAATTATGTCAATGTCAAACTTACCAATTGAGCTAAAAGTTATGGTAAAATAAATTTTTTTTTTTTTTTATAAACATTTACAACAATCAACTTTAAACGATTAACAAAATTGGTTAAATATGTCATTTTCCTTATTTTTAACTTATTAATAATCAAATTAATATTAAATATTATATCAAATCAGTATTAATTTAAAACAATTTTTTTTGTTCTTAATTATTTTTTTTTATATGTAAAAACTATTTTTTAATAATATTAAAACTTAGAAGTTATAGAAAAAGTCTAATTGCACATTTTAAAACATCGCGAAAAGTTGATTTAGAATAGTATATTTTTGTTTCTGATGGAAGTTCCTTGTAGTCCAGTGTATAAAACTTATAACTTTGTTAATTGTTATAACTTTATCAAAAATGACCAAATCAGTATATTTTTTTTTATTTAGATGCATGTCTTTATCTATCATTTGGTTTTTTTTATAAATCTAACCCTTTACCTGCCCACAAGAGGGATTCAAAATATTAACTTTTTTTTTTTTAGTTAAAGTAAATCATTAAAATTAATTCAGTTCTGGATATTTCAATAGTAGAATCTTTTTAAATATCAAAAATTACTTAGAAATGATTACTATGATTTCTATTTAAGTGTTCTATTACGATAAAAATGCAAAAAATAATGAGTTTTTCTGATAAATTTACAATAAATAATAATTATAAAACTTTCTGACTGCATATTAATCTTAAAAATAACATTGTTTTAATTCTCATAAAATTTTCTATTTAATGATTCATTCTAGTCAACGAAGGAGTAATTTTGCAGAATAGCAGAAAAAATTCCCAACAAACTTTTTTTTTTTTTGTTTTAATTAGGCAATTGGTGGATTATTCCAAAAGCAACATCAACTCTTATTTCTTTAATTATATCATGATTAGTAGTTCTTTGATTTTAAAATATAATATTTGAATATATACTAATTATAATTATTAAATTTAGTATGAAATTGATATTTAATATTGTAATTTAAACGGAGAAATTATAAAAATAATAAAGAAGTTATATTTTGCTTTACTTTTACGTGTATAAAAATTTAAAGGGCTTGATACAATAATTTTCAATAAAAACTGTTTGTTACTATAAAAAAATGCACTGGACTACAAGGAACTTTCATCAGAAGCAAAAATATACTTTTCTAAATCAACTTTTCGCGTTGTTTTCAAATCTGCAAGTAGACTATTTCTATCACTTCTAATTTTTTATATTATTACTAATTATATATATAAAATAATAATTAAAAGAAAAAAAAATTTGTTTTCAAATTATTACTGATTTGATTTTTAATATGTTAAAAATAATCAGTCCAAATTTTCAATTTTAACCTATTTTTTTGGTTCTTTAAAGTTGATGAAAAATTTTTGATAAAGATTTATGAAAGTTTATAGTAAAATAAATTGAATATATTACCATAACTTTTAGCTCAATTACAAGTTTAAAATTGACATCTAGGCCAGTCAACAAAGGAAAAATTGCGGAAAAAATTTTGTTTTTTTAAAAGTTGAATTAAAATATGTATAATGACATACTAATAGTCCTCAAGATTGGAATTGAGCTTTTTTTTTAAATCCTCGCAAAAGTTCAAAAATATGAGCTTTCTTAATTTTCTCAAAAAAAAATATTTAACTTACAAAAAAAAGTTTCGCACAAAAGTTGTTTAAAAGACAATTATAAATAAAAATATAATCTTATATTTTTTCATTTAAACAAATATTTTTCGAGTTACATTACATTTAATATGAGTAATAAAATTTATATTCCATTTTTTTCATTTTACGGTTACTTTTTATCATGTTATACTTACATTAGACACAATGTTATAAATGCATATGTGTGTATGTGTGAGTTTATTTATTTATTGTATCATTAAAGTGTAGTGTATATTGAGATACAACCGATAGAGTAGGTAATTGATTTGACGCTATATTATTTAAACCCAACTAAACGCTAAATTGTACATTCCGAAATAACAATCATATTATGTCAATTGCCACCGGAATATCTGGTAATATTTTTCTTTTTCTTTGCCTTAATCCCAACTACTTGGGGTCGGGCACCCTTATCCTAAGATTCCACTTGACACGATCTCCCACATCTTCTACGCTCACATCAGCTGTCCTCAAATCGCATTCAATAGCATCCCTCCATCTCTTTTTTGGTCTTCCTCTATCTCTTCTTCCTTCAACATTCATTTCTATAACTGTTCTTACAGCTT